AGCTGATTCTCTCTATGCAGTTGAACCAATCTCACTTCAATATTAGACAAAAATGACACCGGAAGTGGGAAGGATAGATGGGAAGCATGAGAGGTAAGTATCTATCAGAAATGTATTTTCAGGATAGGAAAATATTAACTTCTGATACGATTACTTACCTCCTCTCACAGTTACAGCTAGAATCCCACATTGAGCAGGTGGAGTGACTGGTGTAAAATTACCTAGATGAGAAACCCTTCAAAAGCTTCTGAAGAGCACCCATGGAGCATGCTACCTCAATGGAAAGAAAACACACTAGCAGAGAGACCACACCATATCTGAACCAGGTACACTCTTCACACAAGTTCAGCCAACAGGTGTGGTGTCACAACCGTAGGGTGGAACAAGGTAACAATTCCAAATCTCTAAGAAAGAGGAATGTGGGTAGAATGTATCAGATCCTAAACAGAAGGTCAACTCCAATCCAGACCAGATGCACAAGGAGGAACTTGACCACACCATGGCAGGAGGAGGGTCCTCAACCAGAAGGTAAGAGGATCTTCCATTCCGAGAACTTAAACCATTATGTTTGCAAATCTAGCACAACCTGCAGCAATAAACCCAGGGAATGTACAGCTGGACGACATCAGGATCACTTCCAGTCCAAAAACAATAAGCACTAAGGATGTAACATCCAGTCCACAGCAGAATGAAGTTCCCAACCCACTCACATGTTACGACTTATGTTGGCTGGTCCAGCTCCAACCAAAACCAGTCACCCAGAAACCGACATCCAGATAGCAATAGGGGAGAGTTCCCAGATGGAGGGGAAGACTGCAAAACATATGGAAAAATCCAGTCCAGACTGGTAGCATACAGAATAAAATATCATACCCATGGCAAGAGAATAGACACTCCTTCTACACAGATAGAATGCCACTGCCCTTCTCTCAACTAAGTGGAATTGTACGCACTCAGGAGGATTCCTCCATGATTCCCCACCCCAGCAGCTAGGAGCTGGTAAGTGGCAAGGACTCCC